ACACACACACACACACACACACACACACACACACACACACACACACACACACACACACATACAAACACACGTCCCAACCACTACCTCTAACTCCGTCCTGTACTGCCGCCTAATGCAAAAGACAGCGCCCACGCAAAAAAACAAACACACCAAAAAGACACCTTGCAGAGACGTGCACCCACACAAATTTCTTGCACTCTGATACGCTCTGTATTGTGTCCTCCTTTCACAGCTTTTCATTTATCTTCCCCTTGACAGCCTTAATAGATCTTATTGTATGTATATAAAGCACTGTGTATGCATACATCATTATAATAGCATTGTTTTATACCATTTCCCCTTTAGCTGCTTTACTGCTAAATAATTAGTTTCTTTAGACACCAACACGGCATTGTTTGGTGAGCTATATAAATAGAACAATAGCAGAGTGGTGTATTCTGGTGCTGTTCTACCAGCTGGAGAATTGTTGTGACTTCTTGTCTTGTTCCTCACATAATTACTTTTCTAGATAGAGGTAGTATGCACACAGTTAGATGTGTGTGTGGGTGTGTGTATCTTCTGTTGCATGTGTGATAGCAGAGGGGGAAACAGAGCTCGCTTTTTCTACATGGCCTCTACATTTTTCTCGTGATGATATGAGAGTTGTGTGCAGGTTTTTTTTTTTTTTTGCAGATGCCAGATGTTTGCATCCCCTCACTTGCTCTCCCCTTCCCCTCCCTCTGGTTCCTGCATGGGCGCAGGGTCTCTATCAGAGCATCAGGGCTCCAGGAACCGGAGCACAGCAGTGTCTCTGTGCTGCCCAGAGAAGTGCAGCCTTGTCTGGGACGGTGCATCTGCAGCCTGGGGGCGAGCCCTGGTGCCCCCGCATGCCGCTCTCACTCGAGGTCTCCTCCGTCCCCGCATTGTGACCCCTGAACTCTGTGGGAGAAACTCCAACAGCATTAGATCTTTATACAACCAGGTTGATGACACATTAATACCTACTTTATCCTCAAACAGGTTAGTTTGGTACAGCGATACCCGCATTTAAAATGCAAAGAAAGCAAAAGGCAAGCTCACACAAGCTAACACTCACAAAGGAGTGTGTTCTTTCCCATAAAGAAAATGTCACAAACCTGTTCTTCCTTTCCACTGGGAATAGCAATGGGTTAAGGGTGGGGGTGGAGGGCCTAGTTGGCTTGCTAACTGGCCCACTGGCTTTCTGGCTGACGGCCCACACTGTGACACTCTGCACCTGGGAGCCTGTGTGTTGTCAGCCATGCTAGCTAGCTCCAGCTACCACCACATGACACACAGGAAACACAGAAATAACTGCTTAGTGTCACAGTAATGCTAACTGAGGGTGTGCTGCTGACAGAAAGGGGTTGAGGAAAGGTGTTAAAGGATAGTAGAAATAAGAGGATGGAATAGGACAGGGGGGTAGTATTAGGATGTTAGAATAGAAAACTGGAAAGGAAAATGAAACACGAAGATGCTAACGCACCTGTGCAGACCTCTGTCACAGGAAGATTCCTCTGGCCTTGATTCAACTAAATGGAGCATTTGCATATTCAGGGACAGATGCAGTGTATCCTGTCTATCATCTTGTTTTCATGATCAAGCCTCTACAAAGATGATTGTGCAACAACTACATCAGAGATTGACAGTTTACAGCTGAGGCTCTGATGTAACTCTGATATTTCCAGAGCATCTCGTTCTTATGTACAGTTTCGGGGTTTATCTGCTGTCCATCTGCACCTTGAGTCATGTGAGCCTCACCTCTAACAGGTGTGAGTGTGGAGTTGAGTTTTATCGCAACCAGAAAGCCCTCGATTAGGGCAGGAACAGGAAAGTGTTGTGCAACACTTGGGCAATCAGATGCTGATGTGCATGAAGTGTGTCACCATTACGAGGAATGAGGACAGAAACAGGACACACACTCATACACACACTTGTAATGTACAATAGCTTAATTCTGCTAACTGTGCAGATTGAATCATGGTGTGTTTGGTCTCTGGGTAAGACGGCGCATGATGGTGGTATTGTCAGTCTCTGACTGAAGATACTGTATATCCGTGATGTGAAGAAAAATGACTAAATTGAGGGAGACAGAAATAAAAGGAAGGAGAAATGCTGGCTGCACCAGGAGGAAGCTGATGCTTCTCCATTCAGCTGCTCCCAAACTGTATGTGTGTGTGTGTGTGTGTGTGTGTGTGTGTGTGTGTGTGTGTGTGTGTGTGTGTGTGTGTGTGTGTGTGTGTGTGTGTGTGTGTGTGTGTGTGGTTGCGTTGCGTTGCATAATGCATCATAAATGAACCTTTTACCTACTTACTTTGAACTGATTTACTCATTTATATGTAACAATATTTAAGTCTGAGCCGCATTATGCCGGTGCTCTGGCTCTCTGTTAAGCATTTCGGAATAAAAATTGAAAACATTTGAAACCTTGCGCTGTGTTGCTGGATCAATCATCACGATCAAACAGAAAAACTTTGGCTTAGAACAAAAAGAGTTCAGCGGTGCAGCTTGAAAGCTCTTGAAACGTAGAACTTCAGGTTTCCTACTGAAGACGCAGTCTAAAATAGCTGAAGTAGGTTTCTCCTGCCTGGCTGGGGCCCTTCGTTTCTTTTCAAAGAAACACTGGCCTCGATAAACATCCGCTGGTGGAAACACTGGCCTGACAGTCAGTGAATGGAAAGGTTTGAGGTGAGAGTGTGGCCACACTGAGGTGTCAGCAGCGTGTGCAATCCTATGTGTACTTGCATTCATGTGTATTGGTGGCCTCTCGTAAGTTTCCATCACAATTTTCATTTTCATCTCGTGCACCTTTGTAGTCGATTCAGGTTGACCTCTGAAATGCTTGTCCTTCACAAAAAGTACCACTACAATACATGTTCAGCTCAACTTCCTTTTGCTTTCAGCTTCCTGACCTCTATTTCAAACGCTAGTAAGGTAAATACTTTCTGTTTGAAAAAATAATGCTTAGTAAAAATTGAAAACAATCTTGAACAATAACGTTAAGAATAAAATGTTGTGGTCTAGAAAAGGCACATCATTGTGTGCATGTCATGTAACACTATTGACTTATAACAAACAAAAGCCCATTTGAATGTGTTTAGTTTTATCAGTGATGTAATTTCTGCGAATAGCAAACTGATACTTTGCTTAACAGATCAACATAAAATCAACAGATTAAATTAAACTAAACACACATTTGTAATTAAGATAACATTGTCAGCTCATCTGTTCAAATGTGTAGACCATAGCCAGCGCAAAGGATCCAATATTGAGATATCAAACTGGTTTGGTGATACTGTGATGTCTTTGTGTTCTACATATGAGAGTGCTGCT